GTTTGATTTGTGAATAATATACGCGCAAGTGTGTGGAATTTGTGAATAAAATAAACGCGCAAGCAGAATATAAGTGACTGTTCGACTTCAAGATGTGCTGGACCAGCAATGGGTCACCACGTGCGACGTGTGTAAAAATCATATGAGTGTAAAAGGAAAAAAGAAGAGCTTATAAGTGTGTAACCAGACAGCGCGATAATATGAAGATCGAATTCATCAAGTTTCATATTTATATATGTGTGTGATAAATGTGTCTTATTTAATCCAGAAGGTATGTGTATTGAAATAAATGTGGTGTTGCTGGCCTTGATCGTATAAAGTGTCGATACTAAGAATATCAAGTACAAATTAATTTTGCGTAAATACTTAAACTAAAATTTGGTGTTTAGTACATTGCTTAATCATTACTAAATAGATTAACAAGACTTACCCACTGAGGCATGCATGAGCCGATTATTTCTTTTTCCAATCACATTTATTTCAATACACATACCTTCTGGATTAAATAAGACACATTATCACACACATATATAAATACTCAAATATTCATAACTAGAATACACGCAATGCGTAACTCAAATGGAATGTCCGTGGAGTGCCGACGCGTGGACTATTCGCGCAATCCTGTTCCATAGAATAATTTTGCGGTTGAAACTTGATGAATTCGATCTTCATATTATCGCGCTGTCTGGTTACACACTTATAAGCTCTTCTTTTTTCCTTTTACACACGTCGCACGTGGTGACCCATTGCTGGTCCAGCACATCTTGAAGTCGAACAGTCACTTATATTCTGCTTGCGCGTTTATTTTATTCACAAATTCCACACACTTGCGCGTATATTATTCACAAATCAAACTTTTACTTTAAGTACTGGGTTTCTTCATTCTGCTTCTTTCTCGGCAAAATTAGACAGGAACAAAATGACCCGAAGGCCCACACACTCGCTAACACGACGTCAGGCAGCAAGCGGGGAAAAACGAAAAAGAGAGAGAGACAAACCAGTCCTTCCAGTATTTATACCTTTCGACGCACGTGCTCGCGCGTGATAACGATACAAGAATCGATGTAGCCACAATGTTCTCACACAAAGAAATTAAAGAGCTACCCTAGAAGGCTCTAATTTAATCTTAATAATACCGGTAAATATGTAATAGATTATCTTGACATGCAAATAATTAAACATCGCACTGTTAAAATTTTTGACAAAAGAAGAGAATTTAAGTCTACAACAACTAAGTTCATAAACTGTCACTACAATATTTCTAAAACAAGTAATAGGAAATACATTTTTCAGAACTTAATATGAGAGTGAGAGAGAGTGAGGTTTTTTGGCGCAAAACCAAAGATGATTATGACGCGCCAAACACAAGGTGGGATGATCAAAATTGATGAAATTTAAATACAATAAATAAAACAGGTGGACAAATGTACCAAATCTAGAGGATGAAGTCATGTAAAAACAAGGTAAAGGCACACATTAAAATCCAGGACACAATCTTCAAAACAAATTGCATTAGGTAATAAAAGCCAGTCTCTTTTAAATAATAAAATAAATTACAATTAGCCTCTCTTCCGATTACACGGTCGAGAGGTAAGTCACAGCTATTAAAATATTTCTGACGAAGACTATTAAAACATGGACACTCAATTAAAATATGACCGACAGATAGGTGACAGGTGACAGGTGACGGAGGACGGGGACGCCTGGCGTATAACATAGGTAAATAGGCATATGTCCCACGTCCTCCACTATCTCGAAAAAGCAACTCGCTGGAGCCCTGTGAGGCTGCACCGGGAGTTTACATGGGCATACAGGGGCTAGATGTCGAGTAGGTTTTACATAGGACGTTGTTAATAACACAAAGTAACTTAAAAAGAATATAAAGAATAGCATTAAAACACTAAACACTCATATAAGCTGAAACACATAGATATACAAAATTAAACGTAAAGCATAAAAACTCACTCGTAATTACGTAACTAAAGACTAAAAACACACACGAGAAACATATCACGACACATAGAATACACATGGAAACACGTAGACACATAAAAGCAATATTACACACAGAAGAACATATGAGACATAGAAGGTGTGCGTAAAGCAGTAGCGCTGTGCGAAATATGCTCAGTTCCATAATACATAATGTACATATTTTCATTAGGGGCATCTGTTGCATATTACATTTTCGTTGCATACACTTATTCGTGCATATACGATATTATATATTTCGATTTACGATAGCAATCATCCATTTGCCCGTTTACAGATAAACATATCGTAACATTTTCTGCAAGTTGCGGCTATGAAAGCGAGTAACATGAGGCTCGAAATGAGTGAATGTGTAACGACAGATAGGGGACAGGTGACAGCAGGACAGGGCACCCGGACGGCTTTCTATGACTACTCGGGTATTACCCTGGCCCTGCAACCATCTTAGAGTCTTCACAGTTGTAAGATGCTTTTGCCAATGTGTTTATTGCATGTGCCCTATTCCGGCCTGCAGAGGTCTATGCCCATTTTTTCTAGTTTGGCCATTATGCATTTAAGCTTTTGCCGCGTGCCTCGATGTTTTATGAGAAGGCGTTTGAAAGGCAGAACATTGGTAGTTGGGAATTTTGATGTGCCATTCTGCTGTTAAGGGGCACTCCGTGACATAATGGTCTGGTGAGCCCACGTTGCCACAAACACACATATCAGTTGTTGCTAGACCCCTTTCTGCAAAGTACGTCGGAAAGGGGCCGTGGCCTGTGGCCTGTTATATATCGCGTGAGGTAGGGCGCTGAGATGAGCCGGTCCACCTCTACCTTGGGCAGGAACTCATATGCTCTGCGGCCTTGCGGGATTTGGTCCCATTCATTCTGCCAGTTTCCAATGGCGGACTCCTCTATTTGCCTCTTTAGGCATGACCGGGGCAGGGGCACCTGAATCTGCTCCGTTTCCTCATTTTGGGCAGCCTTCTTGGCAAGAGCGTCTGCTGCTTCATTTCCCTGGATTCCGGCGTGCGCCTTCACCCAGGAAATTTGGATTCTCATTGACTTTTCTTGTAGACGGAGGACTTCTTGCAGGTGCGAGATTAGTGCGGAGCGCTGGAGAGGGTTGTTGATAGCATAAATGCTTGACAGGCTGTCAGTAAATATCGTAGCTCGACTCTGCCGTGTGTCAATTGCCCATTTCACTGCCTTTGTGAGGGCAACTACTTCCGCTTGGAACACTGAGTTCTGTGCTCCCAGACGGCCCTTCCATTCCTTTGCTATGTTTCCATTTATATAGGCTATATAGGCACTGCCTACAGCGTTATCAATTTTTGACCCGTCTGTATAAAGCACGGCCCCTGGTCCGTCTAAGCGCGGGGTTAACGCTGGTGAGTGGAAAGTCCTTATGCCCAGTCCATATTCCGACGGATGTGTGCTTAGTTTGGACCTGCGTGTTTCGTAGACTTCTGGCAGATAGCATGTATCCCCATATGTGCATGGCTGTTGGAGTTGCGTCACCTTTGCAATTGAGGCTTCTTGCTGCGCTTTGATTGGGAGCGGCATAAGCCCTGCTAATACCGAAGCGGCCGCAGTCGACGTTGTCCTGTAGGTCTTCGTTATGGCCAGGACAAATGGTCGCTGTGCACTACTTAGCAATTTTGCCTTTCTGACTGTCATCGGGGCTGCCCAGATGGCTGCTCCGTAGGTTAGGACCCTCTCCGCGACAGTGGAGTAAAGTATCTTGTAGATATTGGGCCGAAGGCCCCAGTGCGGGCCTTGCATTTTTTGCAGATTGTTTGCGATTCGGCGAGCCTTTTCTCTTTGGGCTTTAAGGTGAGGCAGCCAGGTGAACTTTTCATCCAATATAATACCCAGGAGTTTTAGTTCTCTGACCCTTTTGATGGTCTTCCCATTAAGCTGGATGGTTGGGTTTCTTATTAAAGTTTGGCCTGGCTTATGATAAATTATATATTTCGATTTTGCCTCAGAAATTATTAGCTTTTTCTCCTGACATAGCCGAGAGAAGGTATCAATTACATCATTGCAGTTTTGCTGCAGTTCATCTCTACTCTTGCCGCCCACCACAAAGGTCGCGTCATCCGCAAAGGCTACTATCTGGGTATGGGACGGCCATTCGTATCGTAGGATGGAATCGAAAGTTGCGTTCCACAAGTCTGGACCCGCGCACGATCCCTGTGGACAGCCTTTTGTCTGGCTTCTGGTTATGACACCGCCAGTGTGTGTTACTATGAACTTTCTATTGGACAGGTATTGCTTGAAAACCTGCAAGAGGTTATCAGGGATCCTTGCCTGGTGCAGTGCCTCTAAAATTGAGGGCCACCACAGAGAGTCAAATGCGCTTTGCAGGTCCAGACTTAGGACCGCTGCATGCTGTTTCCTTTCATGCAAGTGGCTGATATAGTCTCTTATCTTTGATAGGGCAGCAATCGTTGAGCGTAGCTCTCTGAATCCATATTGTGCGTCAGAGATTGCCCCACTCTGCGTCATATGAAATTTAAGCCGCTGGACTAGGAGCTTCTCATAGAGTTTCCCTATTACCGGGAGAAGACAAATCGGCCTAAAAAGAGGATGGGCTGTTTGGATCCTTCCCTTCTTTCTTAAAGAGCACAACCTGCCCCGTTTTGTAAGGTTCCGGAAAGCTTTGCAGTGCTAGCAGTTTGTTAAAATAACGCGTGAGAAAGCCGGATCTTGCTTTATGTATTGCTCTCAAGATTGGATAGTCTATTGAGTCCGGACCAGGGGCTTTACTTTTCGGGAGAATTTTGATCGTTGCGGAGACTTCCTTCTCCGTAAATGGCATATCATCTGGGACAGATGTGTGCAGCGTATAAGCCTGGTGGTCGGACGGATCTGTAATATCCTCTTCCGGAAGTACGGCGTCAAGAATTGTCCTGAGCGTGATTTCTGTTATGTGTCCAGCCTGCTGCCCTGCAAAGGCTCTTAGCTCCGGTGGTCTGTAAACTTTGTTCGAAGCTATCTTGTGGAGAGCACCATAGACTTCTACATTCTTAGTACAGAACTCCCTCCAGCTGGCAAGTTTTGCGGCTGTGCAATTGCCCTTTTGTACTGAGCTTGCTCTTTATTATAAAGAACACTAAGGGCTTGCCTCCTGTCTGGGTCTCTTTCGCTCTTCATCTTACGCCTAAGTGCCCTGGTGCGACTGCGCTGTGCACGGAGCTCTTTCGTCCACCAGTTTGCCACTCTTAAAACTTTTGGTGATTTCAGGCCTAGGGTGGCATCACAGATAGATTGAATATCTCGTATCATACTGGTGGTTAAGTCGTCAGCATCCTTTATGTTCTGACATTTCATAAGTGCCTCGTCCACCTGCTCTAGTACTGGTCCTAGCCTGCTTACAAGTTGTTTTAATTTTCTGCCATTGGTTCTATAACGCTTGTTCATAAACTGCGCATGTGGCTGACCTATCTGGAACGTTATATAGCGATGGTCCGAGTTTGAGGGAGTGTCACTTACGGTCCAGTGCTGTATTTTCTGAGCCAGACGCGCTGTTGACAGAGTGATGTCGGGCCATCCTTTTCCCATTTGGGTCTCGAAGGTCGGCAGACTGTCCGGCACGTTATGAAGAATGAGTCCGTTGCATGCAATGAAGTCCACAACTTCTCTACCTCTTGGGTCTGTGGTCGGATATCCGAAGTCCTCCGCATGAGAGTTAAAATCTCCTGCCAATACATGGTGTGCATGCGGGTAGGACGTAAGGATATTCTGCAAGGCATCTAATGTGGGAGAAACGTCTACTGTAGGTGGAATGTAAACATTCGTGACCAGGACACTCAGTCCCATAGCCTCGACTGCAATTGTGACCATGTCTCTTGACTTTGCTAGCACAACTGGCAACCATCTGCTGTGGCAACAAACTACTGCCGCTCTTGTTCCCTCACTTCCTGAATCCTGGATGACGGTCCATTGGAGAGGAAATTCTGCTGCTTGCCCTGCATAAAGAAAAGGTTCTTGAATTAAAAGGAAGTCCGCCTCTTCCTCCATAGCATATTGCACTAGCTGTGCAGTAGCCGCGCGCGCTCTTTGGGGGTTGATTTGTACTTGAGCACATTGCTTTCCTCTGTTCTTGAATTCACTTCCATTACTTTTGTAAATTAATTGACTTTACTAGACCTTCCGACCTTCTTCATTTACAAATGCCATCCCGACATGATTTTTTGACTTGGATCCATCTGTATATACTGGAAGCTATATTTATGCCTGTGCTCAGGCAAAGAGTTGTCTGTAAACGATATCGTTAGTGCTTGCCTTCACGTGATCGTTGAAAACATTAAAAAGCTAGATCCGTTCGTATTCTCAAGGTGGGATTGCTAAATTATGCACTGCTTGGGGACAGATATCAGAAAGGGAGAGTTCCTCAATGATAGGGTGAACTCTTAAAGGAAAGGTAAGCACACAGAATGGACGTGTTACAAATAAAGTGCTACACACATTATCAACGAAAGACAACTTATTAGGATGTTCAGGTTGCGATAAAATATTAAACTACTGCAAAAGGGACATCTGCTCACGCCTCAGATAAAATGATGGTTCGTTACAGTCAACATACAGGCTGTGGACAGGAGAAGTCCTGTAAGCTCCTGTACAAATCCACAGAGCTTGATGGTGAACAAAATCTAGTTTTAACAATACTGATGACCGAGCGGATCCGTAAACAACTGAGCCATAGTCCAGTATAGAGCGGACAAGCGCTCTGTAAATGCGAAGCATAGAGCAACGCTCTGCACCCCAGGAGGTGTTCGCCAACACTTTTAAAATATTTAGTGTTTTTAAACACTTCTTTCTCAGGTTTAAAACATGAGAAAGGAAAGTCAATTTTCGGTCGAACGTCACTCCTAAAAATTTTACTTCAGGCGCAACTGGAATAATTGTACCATTCAGATATAACTCAGGCTCAGGATGGAGACCTCGCTTCCTACAAAAGTGCACGCACAAAGTTTTCTGTTTCGAAAATGTAAATCCCTGTTTGTCTGACCATTCTTGGATCTTATTCAGAGCCATCTGCATTTGCCTCTCTACGCATCTCAACTCCGCCCGTCGACATTAATCTGTAAATCATCAACATACAGAGACCCCAAGATGGTGGGAGGAAGTTCTTTTAATAAAGAGTTTATTTTTAAACTGAACAAGGCTACACTAAGCACACAGCCTTGAGGCACACACTCTTCCTGTTCAAAACATCTGACAAAACAGAGCCAATCCTTACTTTAAAAGTTCGAATGTTCAAGAAATTCTGAATGAAAATTGGTAGGTTGCCGCGCAAGCCACTCTCATGAAGATCCCGAAGTATACCGTATCTCCATCCCTATTCATAAGCTTCTCAATGTCAAAGAATACCGAGACAAGGTGACTTCTTACAAAAGCTTTTCGAATGGATGTCTCTAAGAGGAGCATGTTATCTACGGTTGTTCTCCCCTTTCGAAAACCGCTTTGATAAGGCGATATAATATTATTCTTTTCCAAGAAGTAGACTAGGCGGCTGTTTACCATTTTTTCAAACAGTTTGCATACGCAACTCGTAAGGGCAATTGGCCGATAGTTGGAGGGATTCCTTGGATCTTTCCCTGGCTTAGCAATAGGAATTACAACAGCTCTCCTCCATGCACTGGGAAAAGTACGCTCCTTCCACACTATAGTGTAAAGAGTGAGAAGGGTACTCAGTGACTAGTAGGACAGATGCTTTAGCATTTCGTAATTCACGCCATCAAGACCTGGAGAAGACCTATGTGCCTGCAACAAAGCTCTCCTTAATTTAAGCAAAGTCTTTATTATAAGGTTCAGATTTGGAAGAGTTGAAATGCGATGGGATTTCTTTCAGAGCGTTGCTTGATAGAAAGAAATGCAGGTGAATAGTTTCTGCTGGAAGAAACGGCAGCAAATGTCTCACCAATAGTATTTGCAATTTCTTCTATGGAGCTAATCACTCGGCCATCTTTTTCCAAAAAGGAAAGTGAGTGGTCTTTATATATTCCGCATGCTTTTCGAACTCTTTCCCAAACCCGCTTACTAGGCGTAGAGGATGTTATTGATGACACATATGAAATCCAAGAATCCCTCTGGCTCTGCCTTCTTACTTTTCGTGCATTTGCTTTGGCTCTTTTAAAGGCTATGAGGTTTCGCAGAGTAGGATATCTACGAAAAATACCCCATGCTTTTTTCTGTTTTTTCAGTGCTTCATGACAGTCGCGATTCCACCATGGTTTCGAATATTTTAGTATTTTTCCTGATGTTCTAGGGATGGAAAGCATAGCTGCCTGAATAGTATTAGTAACAGCTTCAACAGCGTCATCGATATGCACATCTTCTACCATTTCCATCTGTGAGCTCTGCAACGGAAGAGAAGAGTTCCCAGTCTGTCTGCCCTATCCAGTATAAACCGAGGGACTCTCGACATGGGGTTTGCTCCTCTTCGTGCAAGAGACACAAAAATAGGATAATGATCGCTGTTGTAAAGGATCATTTCCCACACTAAAAGTGCAAAATGGCAACAGAGATGGTGAACAGATGGCAAGATCGAGAGCGTGGAATGTCCTTGAAGGCTCATGGAAGTAAGTATCTTGCCCATTATTTCAGGAGACAAAGGCTCTTATGTTCATCTTCGATCAATCTGCTCAATTTGTCTTCCTCGGCAATTTTTGTATCTTTACTTCCCCAGAGCGGACTATGGCCGTTAAAATCTCCTATTATGATAAAGGCTCAGGCAGCTGCTCTATTAGATTATTTAAATCTTGCTGAACAATGTGTTCATTTGGAGGCAAATACAGAGAAACGACTGAAACAACAATATGAAAATGTGCTTGTGTAGCGACAACTTGGAGGGATGTCGTCAAAGGAGTATTTGATGGATAGTCCAGTGAGGTGAGGAGGCCTACACTCCCACTGGCACGCTCACCTGGAACGTTATCCTTCCTGACGAAACAAAACCTCCGAAGTTTTGCATGTTGTTCTGGTTTCAGATTTGTTTCCTGTATTGCAAAGCACACAGGATGATACGCATTTATCATAGCTTTGATGTCAAGCAAATTTCGGTGGAAACCGCGACGGTTCCATGATACGAAGGTGGCCATTATGATTTTGTTCCTTCTGTTTAGTTTTTCGTGGAAGTAGATGCCTGGGAACTTCTAGACCCTCTTCTACTTCCATACTATCTGAATCCGCAGATTCAGAAATCATCCCATCAAGAGAGCTATTGCTAGACTTCTTTTATTATTATTTTGACTTCAGTTTTAGGTTTACTATGAATCACTGTTTCTTTATTTTTTTGTATTAAATGAGTTGAATTTTCTTTTTTCTTGTTGGATGTAGTCGGTTGTGTTTTATTTGGTAGAGTTTGCGGGTCTATTGATGTTTGGTTGGCAACTATGCGAGATGATTTAACAGCACTGGCGTATGATTTATTTGGTCGAAGCTGTGTGCTCTGGACTAATCTTCTGGCTTCAGCGTATGGGATGTTCCTAGTAACTTTTGCAGTCTGGACTTCTTTTTCCGATTTCCATTTTGGGCACAAGCGAGAAAACTGCTGGGTGCTCACCCTTGCAATTTATACACAAAGGCGCAGCGGTACAATTATCAGAATCGTGGCCAATCTGTGAGCATCGGGCGCATGTGAGGCTGCCACGACAAGACGTCTTAGAATGGCCGAAACGCTGGCATTGGAAGCATCGCATAGGGTTTGGAATATAAGGTCTTACAGGACAATTTAAGTATCCGGCCTTAATATTCTTAGGCAGATCAGGCGTGTTGAAGGTCAGGATCACGTGTTTCGTATCGATCAACTTACCTTCCTTACGCATCTTGATCCGCCTAACAGCGCAGACATTTTTGTCAGACAGTTCGGATGCGATCTCTTCTTCAGAAGCATACAGAAGATCGAATTCCGAGATTACACCACGACAATAATTCAGTGTCTTATGTGCTGTTACTGTGACATTCGCTTATTCAAGTTTGGTTATTTGAAGTAATGATGCAGACTGAGTGGCCGAAACTGTATTAATAAGCAAGTCTTTAGACGGAGACGCTTTATATTTCTCGGCTCACCAATACAAGAGTGGATATATTTATTTATTACGAAAGCAGACATCTTATGCAGCTCGCCAGAAGGACTAGAGATAGGAAACGGGGACTATTGTTAGGATTATTTGCATTTAGCATCTGTACGTACTTTTTTAGCAACAGATTTTTCAGAACTAGTGCTTTGACCGTCTTGACTAATTTCGAAGTCTTTAATTAGACAAATATGAGAGTTTGCCATATTGAAGGGAGGAAAGATTCGGGTCCGAAGGCCCCGCCCACCACGGAGGCCAACAAGGGAACACAGATTCCTGTGTTAGGGCTAGCTGGACCTATACGCAAACTGAAGCCCCACAGTCAGCTTTCCCGAAAGCAGGTACTCCCGAGAGCTTATCCCCAAGCGACTGACACAAGGACTAGTGACCAGTCGATTGACACCCGTGAGGACGACTAAGGTGCCTCCCGTTTAGCTGAAGCAGAGGCCAAAGCAGTGTGTTGGGGACAGTACCTCGCCCCTCAACTACCAGGACCCTCCTTTCCAGCGACACGGGTCTCCACGCACGGCAAACACGTGGGCAGTTTTTCTCGCCACTCGAAACTAGAGACAAGGGCTGTTCCAGTCTCTCGTGACGAGCCCCAACCTCCGAAGAGGGAAACAGCAATGGAGAAAGGAAAGAAAAAAGTATTAGGTCAGAGGAGAGGAGACTGAAAAGAGCATAGATCACTGGGACTCCAAGATCGTGACACCCGTCTCACCAAGAGGATGATTCCCTGAAGGGCTAGGGTACCTCGGGATTGCCACACACGTATTCACAAGAGTGAGCCCCTGAGGGGCATAACTTAATATGATTAAGAATATATGTGCAGAAATTAAAAGTATTAAAAGTGAAATCTCTATGTTGATTATACGCAAATGGATAACCAAGTCCCTTCAAACTTTGTCAGTTTTTATATCAAAAGGGAAGCTTCGAGAA